TTGACTATGAGTTTAGGGAAACGAATGCGAATTCTGGGCCGAAATGATGGTCACTCTGAAGACCCGTTCGATGAGAACTATTTGATTCAAACAAAGAGGAAATACGGAGAAAGTAATGACAGTTTCGGCCAAACGAGTGAATCGGGCGCTAATGAAGTGGCCATTGAGGATGAGTTAGACGCGTGCGATGTCTCCACCAATTCAGACAAAGAAATCAATTCAGACCAACAGTTGTTAGGCTTGGATCAGGCGATACTCCAGTGTATAGATCAGTGCGAATCAGATGAAGTTAAGCGACGAATGTATGGCTCAATACTACTCTGTGGTGGGGGTCTGGCGTTCACTGGAATCGATAAATATCTTCGAAGTCGTCTCACTATTCAGAGTTCAGCTCTATTTCGCGGACAGAATATGGAAATCCACGTAAAGCCCAAAGATATAGACTCACAGATAGTGAGTTGGAAGGGGGCGGCCGTCTTGAGTCTACTCGACTCAGCACAAGAATTATGGATCAATTCAGACGAGTGGCGAAAGTCAGGAATAAAACTCTTGAGAGAGAAGGCGTCGTTTGTCTTCTGATTAATATTTATATAAAAATAGATATCATTTTCATTTTGCATACAATTTTAGCTCAAAATTTGTAAAATATTTCATAAAAATTGCTTTTTTTTGTTTCCCAAACAGAGATTACGAATTGATAACTAATTGCATTATTTTTTCATGACATAAGAATTTTTGTACAAAAAAGTAAACAATTGAATGATTAATAAATTAAATATTACTAAATATTCGGATGAGGTTTTCAAGTCCAATGAGATACCCGTCCTCATGGTTGCCGACCTGCCATTCACTGCGATGACTGACTCGTATTCCGTTGGGAAGGGGATATGTTTTGGCGAAATCTATTAACCAAATGTCGGCCCTCTTGTCGTCGTGAACGAACAGAAGGGAACTGCCGATTATCTGTTCGTAACAATCATTTGTCACATCATTTGCATAAAACTCGTAACCATTTGTTACAATACCTCATGATTTTTGAAAAACTGCGACATTTTTATCGTTTCGTTGATTACTATTAATTTATTTAAATATAACGACTGAAAGGAAGCGACAAATTATTAGTCATCTAATATAGACTGTACTGCATGTGAATGGATGTGTTGGAGAGACTACTGACCCAATAGTGCGGATGACTTTCCATAAATCGATTAAATGCTGTCTTCACGTGATCTTCAGTTTTAGTTCGCTTGAAGTCTTTCAATGCCTTTCCATTAGACTGTTTGATGCCTTCAATTCTAAAACCAAGACTAGCTGTGGAACTGATGGTTTCCCTCCATATCATATACCGGGGTTTTGTCACTGCCTTTAAACTGTTCTCTTCTTCATTGGGCTCTAACGGATCGATTGCTATCATCTTTTCGTACATATCTTTCCTGAGTTTAGGCCTAACTCTAGCTTTAGTCAACTCGTCCTCCAAGTAGGTCCTGACCCCCATCTTCACGTCCATAATCGCCGGATTCTCAAACTTCGCCAAAAGATCCTCGAGTTCGAGAAAGTCTGCAATCAATTCAAGTAAAAACATTTAAATCTCAAACAATGGTTACAAAAGATTAGATATGATTTGCCATTACAGTCATTATTGATCTTAAGAGTCTTCCTATATTCGGGAACCAAAGGTTTGATGACATCATTCATGATTAGCTTAAAACATGTCTCTTCGGTTCCGTTCAGTTTCTTAAGAATAGTTCCCTGTGTTTGACCGCAAAGAAAATTTCCTAAAAATCAATTCATTCAGTAATTTCATTGATTTGATACAAACAAAATCATAAATACAAACCTTGATGACCGGCCAATTGAACCCATGGGTACTTTTGCTTTTTATATGTCTGTATGAAAGGTGAGGTGACGAGAGAGCGGACTTTCCTCCACGCGGAGATCTGACATTCAATACGATTAACATTAATCTCAATCAATATTTTTCATTATTAACATTAATAACTAAACAAATGTTTACTTCATTTTACAGATATTTATGATTAATCTGGGATTAAAATAACTCAATAAACATCATTTTAGTTATACTGTTAAATAAGAACTGTTTTTCTAATTAATGCTCTGAAACCAAACAATTTACACAAGTTTTTGTCGTAATGATAGGCTTAACGTCTGTTAAAAAGTATCAACATTAAATCCGGGACAGAGTTCACTACAATGTCTTTAACAGTAATCGTTTGGAAAATTAATGGTTTTGACATTTTATCTAAACGGGTAAATTCAGTTGTTGCCTGTCAATATTAAATTTATTACATACAGTAGGTTACATAACATATGCAATGATCAACTTTTATGTCATACGCTAGTAATTTATTTTTTAAGTTTTTAACAAAATGTTTTAATGAGAGAAAATAGATAAATAGATGTTTTGGTTTCCATTAATAGATTAATTTGTGGTTTAATAATAACAATTAGTTGTACTCATAAGAAATGGTTAACCTTTGGCTTATCGACTGGTATATCATCGGAATCCCAATCACTACTCAAGTCATCACTGGATGCCTCGCCGTACTCTAATTTGGGAGCATTTATGGCTAAACTTAGAGAATATTCTTGATATCCATTAATTGGCAATTTATTGGCTTCTTTCAAATCACACATCATTTCGTACCACTGATTACAAATGAATACAAACTTTTTATAAACATTATATAAATTTCAAACAACTTATACTTTGTATACCACAGCAAATTATTTCAAATACAAATTCACGAATAACAGACCAACTAATGAAACACTTTAAAAACAATTGTGGAAAAGTTACATTAAATTTGATATGGAAAATGGCTTTTACTATATTTATAATATTTATAATAAGCCAACGATTGGGTTAAACATTCACACAATAACATCCTTATTGACTAATAGATGTTTTCCAAATGAATTCATAGATAGCTTTCGTTTGAACACATTTGACGAGAATCTAAACAAAAAGTGGTTGTATTGCCTGATAAATACTGTACTAAACACCAGTATTACAACACAATTATTGTAGGGTAGGGTAGGGTAGGGTAGGGTAGAGCGTCGTTGGGAGTGAATATAGGAGGGCGACAAACATTAGGTGAGACCAGAATTGCAATTATAATACTGTATATTATCTGAAAAGGCATTCAATGAAACGACGCTCTATTGACGCAACTTTGAAACGTGAAAATAAATTACAGGATTTGTTTTATGAAACAATCATTTGCTTGTTTGAGACACACAACAAACTTGTATTTAATACACAATATTGTCTCTAAACTATTTAATATACTGCTATTCAAGTGACACTCAATGCATATGTCTGTAAAGAAATAACTTATCTGTCAACACACATGAGATCCTATACCATAACTGCTATACTATGAGGTGTCAAATGATTTAATTTATTATTTCATTTGAGTTGTAGTCAAATGCGATAACAATTCAAACAAACCACAAGAAAGTGCACCTGCTTTTCAAATTCAATTATATAATACCTCATTGAGTCTACTATTAAATTGACATTTATTGTAATTCATAACAATTGTCACTATCATAACTACTTATACATTTATACATAATAATATAATTTTATTAACATACTTAATAATCTACCTTTCGATATAACATTATTTTTAACATTAAGTAATTGTCATGTCATGTACTCACAAGTCAATCTACTTGCAATTAATTTGTTGTAAACACATATTCTATTGGATATTCTGTATGAGTATTAATATGGTATTATAGCCAGTGCTGAACATTTGAAATCTTATCAAAAGTTCTTCAAATATTAGATCTAATATAAGTAGAGAATCCTTAAGTTGTGAACCTGTCGTGCAATGCCTTCAAATGAGACTAGATTTCAATTACAGTAAATGAAAGCAAATATTTCTTATTGGTAATTGCTTACAATAATACTAATAATGCATATTTGAATTAAAATTAATAATATTGGAGAATATTAATGGTATGACGTTTGGTGTGACGCAAACAATAACCTTAAATTGTTTGAAGGCCTGTCCTCTTTGGTCGCACCGACTGATTCTCCGGAGTACCTCATCATTGCTTTCGTAGCGTATATGGAATATTACAATTAGTACAAATATGTTAAGTGAGTAAAGATTAACAGACATATAGGTAGATTAAAATAAGTTAATAAAACAAACATTTGTTTGTGAAACTAGTATGTAAATTCACACTATTAGTTGAAAACTATTGAATTTCACTTTTCATACAACTTTATACGAGAATACAGTACTGAAGCAATTTCACAAATAATTATCAAACTTTTCAAACAAACATCAGACCATTTAAAAATCAAAAGACGTTAACAGAGTTGTAACGCAAATAATGATTTATCATTTAATAAAAATAAAAATTTTGTTTAACTTAAATACAACTTGCCGTAACATGCAATTAAAAAACTTGTCACTGTATTTATAATTTGCTAACTAAATGCTTTAATATTATGCATTACCAGGAAATCAATGATTTTTAAGAATTATTATTAAATTTGTGTAAAATTAGTTTTATCACAAAATATCTCATTTGCAAATAATAAATCAATGATTGCTTTCAATGCATTTATATTCAAACCATGATTTAAGCAATTAATTTAATACTTATTTAAGTATTTATAAAATTCCTAAATAGGAAACTGATTTGAAAATCAGTCATTAAGACATCATTTGCAATGACTTGTGACACAAATATGAAGACAGAGTACTAACCGGTGATAATTTACACGTCGTTTGCAAATCGTGTTCAACGAAATCTTCTTCGCCTAACGACGAGAGGCTGGAAGTGCTCGAAGATATGCTACTAATAGAGTCGCGCCGGAGGTTACTATTAGACTCACGCGTCAAATAGGTTTCGATGGCCAGCGATAACTCACTGGACTCTTGACCATCACTTATGGACACATCATCCCTCTGTCATAGGAATTGTAAATGACTTTTCAGGTGTTTGATGGACAACTGTCACCACACCTCACTGACTGGAGTAGCCACCACCACGACACCAGCGACTACTGTTGTGACCCACGCAGGTTGACAGGTGGTGTACCTGGTGTACTTACTGATAACGTAAAGTTTATAACCCCGGACACTTGAGAATGTGTCACACGTTTACACCCATTGTATACACAATTATAACATTAAACCGATTCTCACCTCATATTTGATTGCAATAGTCATTCACCACAAGTGATGCCAAAGCCATGCAAACTAACCAACCATTCATGAAACACGTGCCGACCGATCACTTCAGACTACACCACCGATTGTATGTACGACTGCACCGCTCAATGAGTCCGCATCTGATGAACAACTTGTTGATGGCATAGAGTCGAGACAATCTCTACAGCATTCACTTCAATCGCATTTGCAATCAGCTCTCAAACAACTCTTAAGTAATACAGCAATACATGCAATACATGCGCCCTAACAGCACACCATACTATAGCACACTATAGCCAACATTGCATTCAATTCACTCCCATTCACACAACTTTCAAAACACTTTCCTAACTTTCAAAACTTTTTTACTCTATAAACAAGTTACTGGTACTGTTTTAATATATGGTATACAAACAAGTTGTAGGCATTTGAAGCACACATTTAACATTAAACAGTAATATTATGTTTGAAATGATACAAATTTAAAAATATTATTTTATGACCAACTAATCAATACAGAGTAATAAGCACATTTGGGTTTTATAGATATTGAAAACTTTGAAATACCATATACTGTGTTCAATATATCCTAAATATTATCATTTCGTTCGTATTGTGTAATAATGGGTCATAAAAGGGTTCAATTAGCATTTTTAATTACATTTTGAAATTAGGTTACAATTATTAATTGTGTATTAGCAAAGTAATGTCACTAAAATGCTTAAGAATTACAAATCATATGAAATACTTTTATTATTCTAAACTTCATATTCAAAATGATATTAAAATTTCCTCAATTTTGTTGTAACAAACAAATTATACAGTTATTCATGAAATAATGCACTTTTTGGGATTTATTTTTAAAAATTATTTGTAAATCTATTATATAATTCTTGAGACAAGTGGTGTAGACAAACGTCCAGGTTCATTTGGAACAATTACAGAGTACTTGTGTTTTAAACAAACTTGTATTTTCTGGTGAATTTAATTTTCTATTTCTATGACAATTTTGTATGACATACTATTGTTTCACAATTAATTAAATTAATTAGTGGTAATCAGATCTAAAAAATTAAATCTAGTGATACCCTAATAATGAAACTCATCAATCAACTTTTAGCTCCAAATATAGTGAATAATTGACGCAAAAAATGGTTAATTTTGGCAAAAAGTTTGTCAAATGAATGCTTTGATGGGAACGTTGTCTCTGAACGGCTTTGTCGTCAAAACAAACTTATTTGTGAAGATCTCATGACATGTGCTGTGAAGAGATGGCCAAAAGCGAGACCACGGATGAGATAATGGACTTGAATACCATTATGAATAAGTAATATCATATACATTCACCACTGCCTCCATGTGTGAACTCTATTTGATTGACAGTATCATTGAGTTGTGCGTTGAGAGCGAGAAAGGGATCACCGAAAAGATGTTGAAGATTGCGATGAATGGCGTGAATCCTCTGCTCAGAGCGGATGCCGTCAACCAATTGTTGGCTCAAAACAAGATCGAGATCTGCAAACAAGGATCACAACTGCTCTTCAGGATCAAAGACAACAACACCACTAAAGGCTTGTTTATGATTTCGTCAAGAGTCGGATGTATTGACTCATGGATTGACCGGTGATTTAGGTTCGGATGAAGAGGAGAGGATTGTCTACTCGATTGTGGAGAAGGCCTCCAATAAAGGCATTTGGATCAGAGATATCAGGTTTCAGTCAAACTTATCGCAAACACAACTCAATAAAGTGCTGAAGAATATGGAGACCAAGAAAATGATTAAATCCGTCAAATCGGTGACCGCTTCCAAGAAGAAGGTATATATGCTGTACGACATCGAGCCGGACAGGTCTGTGACGGGCGGCTCGTGGTATAGCGGATCCGATTACGAGTCCGAGTTCATCGAAGTCTTGGCTCAACAGTGTCTGCGGTTTCTCTGGGAAAAGGTTCGTCTCTTTTGTCACTTTTAGTGGCTTTTAGCCAAACATTCATTGAATTGATTTTGAAGTCAAATAAAGTGAAAGAAAGCGAAAAGAATCCGATTTTGCGTCAAAACAAGTCATTCGTCACCTCAACAGAAGTCCTTCATTTCATTAAAGATCTCGGAATCAGTAAAGTAGAGCTCAGTGTCGATGACATCGAAAGCATTCTAAACACTCTTGTCTTTGATGGCAAAGTCGATAAACACGTGTCGGTCGACAACACCAGTAAAGACACGAACAAATTATATCGTTATATCGAAACTCTCGGAAAAGATACCGGTTTTATGCGAATGCCGTGCAGTGTGTGTCCCGTCTATAAGGACTGTCACATCGATGGACTCATATCTCCACTGAAGTGTCTTTACCTTAAAGAATGGTTCGAAACGTGACCCCATTTGGTGTATTAGTGATAGTCTATTACCAAATAAATTTCCTACCAGTGCTCAGACCAACTATTATCAAATTACAGTTACTGTACGGTATATGAATTTATATGAATAGTGCTCATCGTTTTGATAACTTTTGATAACTGTAAATAACAAATAAACTATTTACCGTATCTATGAATGCATTAAATATTTATTGATCTTTTAAATTGATAATTAAATTACAAGACATGGAAATGAATGACAATTGTTTAGTCGAAATATATTTGTTAAGAACGAAAGTTAATTCAAAATAAAATCATTGTTTTCGGAATCCCTTAAGAATGGGATAAATGTTTTCAAACGCTTCGTATATCTCTGTCCGGACTTTTGCTCCTAAAGAGGATTCAAAAATTGCAATTCAAACACAAGAATACAAATAATAAAGCAATGAATTACCGGTTAAGACAACTTTGCCGGACACGAAGATCAGCAAAACGATACGCGGTTTAACCATTCGGTAGATAAGACCGGGAAAGAGTTCGGGTTCATAGCTGGAGAACTGACTGTGCGTTAGGACCAGTCCTTCCAGACGTATGGGGAACTTGACATCACAACTGCCGACCATATTCTGGATCTTGAAGTCAGAGAACTTTGCCTACAATTGGGAACAGTATTCGTATGAAATGAATGCATGTGTGAGGTGTGAGGTGTGAGCGCTTACATCAAAGCCGAGTTTCTGTACGATTCGGGCGTACTTTCGGGCGGCCAGTCGTGACTGTTCCTCACTCTTAGCTCCAGTGCACACCATTTTGCCACTACTGAAGATCAGGGCCGTAGTCCTCGGCTCTCGGATTCGCATAATAACGGCTGCAAACCGTTTGGGATTGTATTCAGCATTTCTGGCGTGAAGTGCAATCTTCTTGAGGTCTAGTCTGCAGCCGAGGTTTACGGTCGACACTATGTTCTGCAGCTGAGGCACAATCCCCGGGTCTGTGGACACGGGTGTGACGGGAGTCATGGGTGTCATGGGAGTCATGGGACCGGATGGGCCCACACCAGACATCACAGATGACGGCATATACGAGTTGTTGGACAATGGGTTGGATGGCGTGTTGGCCGTCGATTGGATGACACCGGGAGTGTTGGGACCGGCATTGCGTTTGTGAGGAGTGGATGGCGTGGAGGCGGTGTGGATGTGGTCGTGATGTGGCGGTTGGATGGGTGACGGCTGCACGATCTGGCTCTGGAGGAATGCCAAGTGCTGCTCCTCTGCCGGGTCTGCCATCTCATTGTGAGGGGTGGCCATCGATGGCATCACATAACTGTTCGTCACATCCATTGTCTTCGCAAAGATGTCTTCCGATTGCTATTCAATTGAATCCACTCTTCGCACCAAAACTCAATTGATTTGAACAAAACTCAATGCAATTGAAAACAAGTCATCAATACTTGCGTCCAATCATTGATTAAATATGAACTCAAAACACATGCAATTAACAAATGAATGCACTTTTCATTCAAACAAATGATTAGAAATTGATTTTAAAATGAGTTTAAATTGAATTGAAAACAGATTTACAGTCAGAGAGGGATTGAAGTGATTGCCAGACCAGAGGGCCTCACCATCAATGACAACCCATGCAACTCATACTGTATGTACAGTACAGTAACACATCCATTGGCCAGATCGTAGCGGTTGTCTTCACTGTCATATGCGATCACATCGACCAATAAGCCGGGTCAGTATCATTGTCAACTGACCATGGTCATCATCATCTAACATCATTATTATCTAACTTATGAGTTACACTCAACTCATGTCATTATAACACGTTATTACCTGTTATTCAAACACTTCACCAAAAGTGACACAATCTTAGCATTTGTTTCAATTTTGAAACTTTTCAAAGTTTTGCCATTCATTGCATTCATATCTGTTGGACACCAAAGAAAAGACAATCATTTCAATATCAGTCATGGCATCCAATCATTGCGTTCAATGTATTGATGTCTAGATTTACCACTTGTTTCGGTCATTTGATTGTCAACTACTGTATAATGAATCCATTCTTTATGGCCAATTGGGTCTCAATTGACGTATCATTCAGTATGAGATGGTCTCACAAATAGACAAACCCATGAAAATGTGACAAATGCTTAAGATTACAAATAGCAACCATGACATGGATGACCATTGAGGCCATTGAAGACATGATCATTTGATTGTTCACTTATGTATACGAATTCTGTTAAAAACAGACATCAAGTATATCCCATACATGGTTGGGATTCCAAGACATGGTTGGTATTGATAGGGCACACAATTATTGAGAAAAGGACTGTCAGTGTGGCATAGGATAGGGTTTGAGTTGACATGTCCTTACAATTGGTTTACTCTATATATTGTGAGAGTTGAACATAACTCAAGAATCTGTTAGAATTAGAAGTGTTTGAATTTCTTACATAAACTTATAACAGATAATAGCTGACTTGACTGTTAGTAACTGTGTTATCCAACCCAGATTTGGATACCAGTATATACTTCACTTAATACCCTTGTTAACTTAATATTCTTATGTTCTTATATCCGAATCTTATCTACAAACGTTTATTTGATTGAGGAAGGCGTCAGACATAAAGCAGTGCCACAATCAACACAAACAGATAAAAGACAAACTTTCAATACAGTTGTCGGTGACTAGTTTCAGACATGGCTACGACTTCTTATACTTCTGTACTTCACCTCCTTACCGAAATATCTGTTGTTTCTCAATTTCCTTTAACATAACGTTACTCACCTTGTTAGAGTGAAGTGGTCGGGGAGTGTGCTATAGATTCTATAATACTGTATATGAAGTGATTCTACTCATAGGTTAGAATTGAGAATTGAGTGCCTGGGTGCAAACAAATGCTACATTCAGTCACATACACAACATGTGCACTACTTGTATAAATTAAATACAATTTTTAAGTTTTTAATTTTAAATAAATTTTTACTAATTAATGATAAGATAACAAATGCACAAACATTCAAATCTAATCGTGAAAATGATTTGCAAATTCACTAATTTTATGCAATACATTGAAAAAATTGTTTTCATGGAAAATGTTTTTCAAATTTGATCTCTTTTTCGAGTGAACTTTGATTTGGGTTTTGAAGACTTGATTTTTGCATAAATGTATTTCATATAAACGTATAATAATTATATTGAGCACAACAACACTCTATCAATTGATTAGCAATTATTGGTTATAATTGTTTTGTTGATAAATACATGGCATGTGATTGTCATAACTGAGGCAAAGTCTTCGGTCGGGCTTTGTTTATTTGCAAACATCTATTCTAAGCCTATATTCTTGTATTCTTATAATTCAATTGTTCCCATAATTCACTTCATATATGACCATAGGTTTAGACCCAACCTATTGTGTCAATGATTGTCAGTTCAGTCCTATTATCTGTTATAACTTGATGTAAGAAATTCAAACACTTCTAATTCTAACAGATTCTTGAGTTATGTTCAACTCTCACAATATATAGAGTAAACCAATTGTAAGGACATGTCTTCAACTCAAACCCTATCCTATGCCACACTGACAGTCCTTTTCTCGATAATTGTGTGCACTATCAATACCAACCATGTCTTGGAATCATCCCATACTTGATGTCTGTTTTTAACAGAATTCGTATACATAAATCAACAATCAAATGATCATGTCTTCAATGGCCTCAATGGTCATCCATGTCATGGTTGCTGTTTGTAATCTTAAGCATTTGTCACATTTTCATGGGTTTGTCTATTTGTGAGACCATCTCATACTGAATGATACGTCAATTGAGACCCAATTGGCCATAAAGAATGGATTCATTATACAGTAGTTGACAATCAAATGACCGAAACAAGTGGTAAATCTAGACATCAATACATTGAACGCAATGATTGGATGCCATGACTGACATTGAAATGATTGTCTTTTCTTTAGTGTCCAACAGATATGAATGCAATGAATGGCAAAACTTTGAAAAGTTTCAAATTTGAAACAAATGCTAAGATTGTGTCACTTTTGGTGAAGTGTTTCAATAACAGGTAATAACGTGTTATAATGACATGAGTTGAGTGTAACTCATAAGTTAGATAATTATGATGTTAGGTGCTGATGACCATGGTCAGTTGACAATGATACTGACCCGGCTTATTGGTCGATGTGGTGGATGTGTTACTGTACTGTACATACAGTATGAGTTGCATGTGTTGTCATTGATGGTGAGCCCCTCTGTCTGGCAATCACTTCAATCCCTCTCAGACTGTAAATCTGTTTTCAATTCAATTTAAACTCATTTTGAAATCAATTTCTAATCATTTGTTTGAATGAAAAGTGCATTCATTTGTTAATTGCATGTGTTTTGAGTTCACATTTCATCAATGATTGGACGCAAGTATTGATGACTTGTTTTCAATTGCATTGAGTTTTGTTGAAATCAATTGAGTTTCGGTGCGAAGAGTGGATTGAATTGAATAGCAATCGGAAGACATCTTTGATCCACAAATGGATGTAACGAACAGTTATGTGATGCCATCGATGGCCACCCCTCACAATGAGATGGCAGACCCGGCAGAGGAGCAGCACTTGGCATTCCTCCAGAGCCAGATCGTGCAGCCGTCACCCATCCAACCGCCACATCACGACCACATCCACACCGCCTCCACGCCATCCACTCCTCACAAACGCAATGCCGGTCCCAACACTCCCGGTGTCATCCAATCGACGGCCAACACGCCATCCAATCCATTGTCCAACAACTCGTATATGCCGTCATCTGTGATGTCTGGTGTGGGCCCATCCGGTCCCATGACTCCCATGACACCCATGACTCCCGTCACACCCGTGTCCACAGACCCGGGGATTGTGCCTCAGCTCCAGAACATAGTGTCGACCGTAAACCTCGGCTGCAGACTAGACCTCAAGAAGATTGCACTTCACGCCAGAAATGCTGAATACAATCCCAAACGGTTTGCAGCGGTTATTATGCGAATCCGAGAGCCGAGGACTACGGCCCTGATCTTCAGTAGTGGCAAAATGGTGTGCACTGGAGCTAAGAGTGAGGAACAGTCACGACTGGCCGCCCGAAAGTACGCCCGAATCGTACAGAAACTCGGCTTTGATGTAAGCGCTCACACCTCACACATGCATTCATTTCATACAATACTGTTCCCAATTGTAGGCAAAGTTCTCTGACTTCAAGATCCAGAATATGGTCGGCAGTTGTGATGTCAAGTTCCCCATACGTCTGGAAGGACTGGTCCTAACGCACAGTCAGTTCTCCAGCTATGAACCGGAACTCTTTCCCGGTCTTATCTACCGAATGGTTAAACCGCGTATCGTTTTGCTGATCTTCGTGTCCGGCAAAGTTGTCTTAACCGGTAATTCATTGCTTTATTATTTGTATTCTTGTGTTT